ACTTAAAAATATTTTTTCAATATTTGTATGTAATTTTACAAACATTATTTTACAATTTATTTCTTACAATTTTATTTCTACTATTATTATTATATTATTTATATTACATATATTATATTATTACATATATTGTATTATTTCCAGATATAATATTATGTAAATATATTGTGGGATAGAATTTTTATTTATCTTAATTTAATTTAAATATATAAATTTTGAAAATTATTACAAATCTATATATCATACTTTTTTCTTATTTGTTTATATGAAATATAAAATTTTTTTTATATTGGTCAAATAATATCTAAATAACTTACTCTTGTATAAAAAGATAGAGATTTTATATATATACATATATCATATTATATATATATATATATATATATACTATATGTAAATATATATATATACTATCATAAGTTTATAACTATATTTATAAATACTATAGTATATAAATATATACTGTATTATACTAATTTATATTTACTTTATATTACTATCTTGTAAAAATTAGTTTTAAAAAATCAAAAAAAAAATAATATATATATATATATATATATAATACTATTACTATCAAGGCAAATATTATTCCTATATTTTTTATCATTATGAAAAATGCAAAATCATGTAGATATGTATATGCTATAATCAATATCGGTTGTGGATAACGAAACACTTTCTAAGGAATCATATAACGATGAATGGAGAACGATACATGTAACGAACAATGATCATCCGGTATCCGTAGGGACGCTCGTAAATCATCGATACACTCTCACCAATCATCGCGTCGCACCGTCAGCTTGAAGCCGGCCTTGAATTATCGCTCTGGCGCCATTCCACGATAATTAACAAGTAGCTATGTCGGGTAACAGCAGAATCGCCCCCGTTAGAAACCACATGATATTGGAACACACTTCACAAGTTTGCTTATCGAAAATTTAAACATCATTAATATAATTTATATGAATAAGAACTATGTCGGTTCGAAGTCATATAAATTACAAGATATGTTTCTTCTTCTTCTTCCTCTTCTTATTCTTCTTTTTATAACAAATAATTTTATCGTTGATCATTGTTAAAAAAGAATCGTGAATAAATACTTCCTCGAAAATCATGGACATTTCAATTTTTTTTCTTAAAATCCAAAATTTTTATCCGTCGAGTTTATCATTAATGAAAAAAGCATTCGCAATAAAAACTGTATGTTAATTCAATAATAAATTTTACAGTAAATTTAATATTATATTGAATCAAATAACAAATAAACATATTTTCAGCTATTTTCATTATTTACATTACATTATTGATATAAATAAATTGAGAAAAATTGAGAACTTTGAAAATTTCCAAGTTAAATAAAATAATTGGAAATATGAGAAAAATAAATTCATGTTTTTCGAAACATTTTAATTTCTAAGTGGCAAACAATCGATGGAATTTGTCATTATTGCCTTAAATTAATTTTCAAAGTAAATTGACCATGCAAAAAAAAAATTCTTAACATTAACAAGTGTATTTGAATAGTATTCAAATAAAATATGATTAAGTATAAAAGATAAAAGCATACAAATCTCAACGTACATCATTCAGACCTTATAATTATATTCCTACGAATTAATGTGCAATAAAAAAAAAAAAAAAATAAAATAAACAAATAAAAAAATAAAAGCAAATTTAAATAAATATCCATTCATTTATGTGTATAATTTGTCAATTAGCAAGATAATATGCAATATGAAATTATTCTTAATTAATTACATACAATTTTATCTTCATAAAAGTGCACAAATTTCATATTATTTCTTCAATGTAAACTTAGAAAATAATCCGTGTATTCTCATAATAAAAATTACTTAATAAAATAAAAAAAAATAAAAAAATAAAAAAATAATAAAAATTAATTATGAACTACAAATCATAGAAATAAATATAGAAAAACTGCATTAACATGCAATTTTATTCTACAAGCACATCGATATTATTATTACTATAAAAAGAAAACCAAATTTATGGAATAATTGATATCGTTCACCTAAAATATACATTTTCTGTAATTAAATGTTCTATTAATATACTTTATTGTAGTAATAAATACTGAATTTATAACCACAATAATATCGAATTTAATTAATTGAGAATTTAATAATAATATGACGTTAAATAATAATTATATTTTATGAATTCAAAAAGTTAATTTAAAAAATTCAAAGGATGTAATAAATTTTTAAAATCCTTGATATATCTAAATAGTATATGAAATGTATTGGTCTTCAAAAGTGCATATATATATATATATATATATATCTGTTTTTATTTAAATATAAGAATTTTCAATAATAAAATATTCTACAGTGTTATTTATTCAGATACAGAATAGCATTCAAAAAAAATATTATAGTATTATACACTTAAATATAAAATGTCAAATGTGTTTTTAATACAAAATATAATATTGTGTTATGTGTTATGTGTTATGTGTAATATTTTATTTTTATTTGTTACTTTTATTACTTTTACTTAACTATACATACATAATAGAAATTAGCATATTAGAAATTATTATAGAAAATTATGATAAAGCAGAAAGCATTAATATACTCAATACTAAGTATCTAACGTGTTAAAAAAAATTTTATTTAATAAATTCTTTCTTTTTGTCAATGGCGAAAAATTCTTATACATAAAAAGAAATTGTTTCTAATCAAATGACACAAGTAGCTAATCAAATTGTAATATATCAAAATCAATGAGTACAACAATTCTAACATATCTTTTATCTAAAACACATTCTTGATTGCATGTTGTTTTACACTTTTATTTGATCTTTGTTATTATAATAAAAATAAAAAAAAAAAAAATTAAAAAAAAATAAGAAAAAAGTAGGGAAACATTGATACTATTAATAATACTAAGCGTCTAACATGTTCAAAAAATTTTGATAATACGATAGAAAATAATTTCTTAAGAAATGCGAACACTTCTAAATCGTTTTGACACTGATATATTTCGCGAAATAAGACGTCAGTGAAATGTAAAGAGAAAAAGAAAAAAAAAAAAAGAAAAAATCAGAAATACGCTGAAAAATTCAAAAAATGTTTCAAAACTTTGCGTAATATATCCGACGAGTAGACGTTTCATTCCTAAATGTAAATTACCCCTTACGTCTTATACGGTCCTAGTTATTTAAAATTATAGAAATTAAAAAATTTAATAAAATTTCAACCATAAAAAAGTATGCTCTCTGTTTATCTACAATTTATATTTCCAAAAATAGTGAAACATTTGTTTCAATGCACATCATAACTCACTATTCTCTAATATTTTATTTGCTAAGGTGCAAAAACCTTTATTAAAATGTTATAAACTTATATTAGAAAATATAACTTGTAATCTTTTCATACCATATATATCAAATCAAATTTAAAGAAATAATTCTTAAGCAATTAGGAGCATGTTCTAATCGTACTATAATTGATTATCGAGGCTAATGGTTATTACATATTATTATTATATTAATATTACATATTATCATTATATAAATATATATATATTTATATAATATAATATTTATATATTTTATATAGATTACATAATAAGTATATATATTATATAAGAAATATATATAATATATATATGTGTATACCTATTTATAGTAATATATTAAAATATTTTTGATAATTTTTACAAAAAAATCTATTAAAATTTAATAAAATATAATAAAATGTTTTAAATGCGTCTATTATGTACGAGTATAATATTACATATACGAGATACGAATTTATTTAAAATTTATCAAAAAATGATGTATGATCAACTACCTACATGCACGCAGGTGCACGTGAACATATATATATATATATATATATATATATACATACACACACACACATACATACATGCACAAATATAAAATACATCGTACGCAATCATTAAGTATCAATGATAGTTGTCAGAAAGGAAAGCCAAAATTAAAATCCATACTAATTTTTTCTCATTCATATGACTAATACCTGGACAAAAGCATAAATGAGAACACAGCTGAAAATTCTGATCTAAAAATCTATTAACTTGTTGTTTAGGTTTAAACATCAATTAACTTGTTGTACTAGATCGTACACTATTTTTTTTTTTTTTTTTTTTTTTTAACAACAAATCCATTCAAAACTTTTTATTTAGTTGACAAAATTTATTGGAAATTTTATCAAATATGTTCATCAAATGTTCAACGGTAATCAAACAATTTGATTTTAATAAAAAATAATATCGATTTAAAAAAAAATGTATTAATACAAAAAAAAAAAAAAAAAAAAGAAAGAAAAAAAAACAGAAAAAGAAGACGTAAGGCAATAAAAATGAATTGTAATTTATAAGAAAAAAAAAAAAAAAGAAGAAAGAAATTAATAAAAAAACAAAAAAAAAATGGAAAAAAAAGATATAATCATGAACCACCATTCGTGATTTCAGACACACACCATTATTTTTTTTACATACATAGATATCGATATATCTTGAAACAGATAGCTATTAAATAGACTAAGTATGCAGCAATGTGTGTTATATAAACTGCATAAACTGTGCTTACTTTCGACGGGTAAATAAATTGGTTAAATAAATCATTGATTTCACCAATAATATACATATATCGAGCAAACACGAAGAAAACAAAAAGATAATTAATAGCACTGTAAATTAAACGATTTAAATTGATGAAACAAGATGATTCTATCTATCCTTAATTAATAAAAATAAAAGTATGAAGAATAGATGTAAATAATGTAAAACGTATGAACGATTAAAAATGTCCACGTAATCATTCATGCTTGTTTCATGAACGATTAAAAATGTCTACGTAATCATTCATGCTTGTTTCAGTGATTATTCATTGAAAAAAAAAAAGAAATTATAAACAATAATTCATTATTTCTTTGAATAATTCGAATCTTTCATCGTCTACATTATACAGATTCAACGGAAGGACTTTAATTTTCTGCACTCACTACTTATGAAGTTCTCTGATGGCTCCAAAATACTCGTCCACGTTGCTGGTCGAAATTGAGTAGGGTTTGATATAAACTAGATCGAAAATGAAGTTTGGTTGTAGTTTCAATAGATTTAATGATAATGCAAGGAAGATCTGAAAATAAAATTATAAAGAATTTATTATAGATTATTTATTATAAATTATTATGATAAAAATAATAATTTATTTTATTATAATAATACAACAAAATATATAAAATAATATAACGAAATAATAACATAATGAATAAATATAATTTAATAATATTATAAAATAATAATTCGTTTTAGTGTAATAAATTTTTATTTCATTATATTTTTACAATAAAAAAAAATTGCAAAATTATATTACATTATATGTATTATAAAATTTAAATATTTTCTTACCAATATTCTTTTACGTATGACGTGTACTTTATCATCTTCCATGATGCACCGATTCTAATACGCGATAATTATTAATTATTTATTAACGAGACAACACTGAATTTAATTTGCAATATTTTTTATTGTTTAATCATAAGGAATAAAATAACTCTGTGTGTAATCATTAAAAAAGTACTTAATACTTTTAAATGAACTAAACGTTTACTCCGTAACTTACTACATTGCGCGCAGTCGATTTAAGTACGTACGTTTATTAAAATTAATTTAAATCGCGAAACGAATAAAAATTTTGATTTTATACAAACGAACGCTAACTCTGCTTCGCGATTTCTTTTTCTTTTCTCCCCCCTCCCCTTTCGTTTTTAACTCACGACGCTCGATTTATTCATTTCATCGCGCATTATCGCAATAATGATCTGAAAAAGGAAGAAAGAAAAATTATTAACATCATTATTCTTACATTAAAAAATTATTAAAATTATTTGAAAAAAGGTATAATAAAGAAGTTGACTTACTCGAAATTTTTCGTTGATCCTTGCACAATGAACATCCTGCTTCAGGATAATAGAGAATATGCGCTATTCTACTTCATGAATTTCTATTGACATTAATTTAATTTTTAATAATTTGTTTAATTGTAAAGGACATACAAATCTACAATTAAAACGTTGTCTCTAAACTAATACTGTCTTTGTCCTTGAAACGAATGAACTTTTGATTATGCGACAAAAACGAATACATTTATATAAAGAAAAAAAAAAAAAAGATAAAAAAAGGAAAGAGAAAAGCAAAATATTTTCTGTAAATCATATTTTAGAAGTGAACAAATTAAAAAGTATATTATCAACAGTTATTAAACTCATAATTAAATTCTCTTTCTCTCTCTCTCTCTCTCTCTGTTAAAATTTAATTTACAAACTTATTAAAAATAATAATTTTATGTGTGTGTATTTTATTTATGAGATATATTTAAAATGTTCATTTGAGCTCAACAGTGTCTGAAAGCATAACTCAAGCAATACTTTTGGATCTCATCGTTTTTAACATTCTTACATTCTTACAAAAAACAATTTTTAATGAAAATCATCTAAATGTTGACAAAAAAAATGTTTTACAAAAAAAAAACCTTCCGTCAAATATTATTGAAAGATTATACAAAATTCTATACTCTTCTAATCGATAGATAAACTTATTACGATATAAAATATAAATCATAAAAATTTCTTTAAATGTTAAGATTAAAATAATATGTATATTCAAGTCAATGAGTAAGTGACTTTTGTAAAAAATAAATCTGACCAATCTTCTCGAATATAAATTACAAATTGAGAACATTCAAGGCTCACCTTTGATTCTTTTTCTATACTCACATGGAATGTGTCCCGATGAGTGTGTTTACATCCTTGAACAAAAACTAATTTCCTAAAATTATAAACCAAATATAAGACAACGATTATTTATTACTTGTCTCTCTTCCTCTCTCTCCTTCTCTCTCTCTCTCTCTCTCTCTCTCTCTCTCTCTCTCTCTCTCTCTCTCTCTGTCGCTCTCTCTCTCTTACTTTTTCTTTTTCTTTCTTTCTCTTTTCTCTCTCTCTCTCTTACTTTTTCTTTTTCTTTCTTTCTCTTTTCTCTCTCTCTCTCTCTTTCTCTCTCTCTCTCTTTCTCTCTCCTCTCTCTTTCTCTTTCTCTCTCTCTCTCTCACTCTTATTAAAACTCGCTTAATGCGTGTAAAATGAGGTAGATAAACTTACGTATTTGAATAACGAAGAGAATATAGCCGTGAAAAAAACTGTTGTATAATAACGCACTGTCTTTTTTTATTATAATTTTTAGAATTCTTAAAGTACTGGAAAATGTTAGTTTGAATAGTAAAAGTATAATATATAAAAAGAATAATATACTTTATGTATATATACACACAACGTATATATATATATATACATGTAGGTGTGTTGAATAATGGAGAGTAAGAGAAAAAGAAAAGAAAAGAGAAAGAAGGAGAAAAAAGAGAAATAAAGAGTAAGAAATTTTATATATGTGTATATGTGTGTGTGTGATGTGTGTGTGTATTATACGAATTATATAGTGTGTACATTATACCTACGCATTATAATCTATATGTACGTATGAATAAGAGAGAGAAAGAGAGAAAAAAAGAAAAAAAAGAAAGAGATAAAAAAAGATATACGATCATGTGTATATATATACATATACATATATATATATGTGTATATGTACGTGTTACAATTAAACGTGTTAAATATTACGTAACAAATAAAATCAAAGACGAGTTGATTAATTTCGATCGAATTTAATTAATTAATGAACAATTATGAATAAAAGTGCGATTAAAAAGTACACAGAAGATATTTGATATCGTGAAAATTCGAATAATAAAAACAAAAGAAGTACGAAACAATAGTTCGCCAATATCGATTTTAATTTTACGAATATCTTTTAAACGCTACATTGTCCCGACTTACGTATGATAGATATTAGAAAATGCATTCTAAGCAATCGATTGGTATATAGGATGAGCGTGTACGTTAAGAAAAAATATTCTAATTACCTTCAATCATACGGAATACGACGTAACACATCTTCTGTCATACTCTCGTCCAATATGGCGACGGGACCACCAACAAAGAAACGAAATGAATCCTATAATATATACGTCGCGAGCGCCACCGTGGTCATATTACGAATTAACGATTAAATGTATATTTATTTCTTTCAACTTATTATTACGAAATTGTAAATAGAAATATAGAATATAACAAATTTAATTATTTGATTGAATTAATTGAAACTTTCGTAATCGCGAAATTAAAAAGATATATGTATAATTAATAAATCGATTTGATAAAAGAATTTTTATTTCTATTTATTATGTAATTAAAAAATGTATTTATTAATTTGAATTCGTTACGTCGTGAAGATACAATTACGAGATCGTTTTCAGATACACGTTTCGTATCGAACCAACGATGATATTCAATTAACACGAAGTATCTTCTCGCGATTCTTCCTAATCGTCAGAGTTATAAACTCATTGGTGTTACGATAAAGAAAAGCGATAATATTAGGCTAGGATATCATGGTTAGCCGTCAGCAAAATATCGCTCGCCGCATTCCCGCAAATTAATGGGAGAACGTGAATTTCTTTGAAGGATCTCATAGAACTCGTGTAATGAATTTGATAATACGAGTAGTTTCAGTGATATTTGTAAGACTTGATTGTCTTATCAATGATCTCGAATGTTTGCATGTAAATGTAAATTTCTCTTGAATTATCCACGAAGGGTATTAATGAATTAAGAAAGTATTTGGATAGAAAGTATTTAGAAAGAGAAAGCAATATTCTCAATGATAATGGTTGTGTCAAAATAGTTCGTTCAATATTTTTAAACAATTTCCTGTGCAGTCTTTTATCGTGGTCACTCATATAGACCCATGAGAATTCCCAAGGACAAATATTTCCAATAGTGATATATGTGAATCTCAAGAGAAAGTACTATGAACAACTGAGGGATGCACATTATCATTAATAAGACTCTAGAGGTCTGAATGATGTTACAAGTACAAGTAAAAATTTTACAAGATTTATTGACTTTTTGGAATTTCTCGAATTACCTGCGAAAGATAATAATGAGATTAGAAAAGGGAATGAAAAGGGCGGAATTGAAATACATCATGGACAGATGAAGGAAAAATGCCTATTAGTCGGGAACGGATCAGAATAGTTCGTAGGAATTTTTAAACAATTTTATATGTGCCCTTTTTGTTCAGATGATCTTGTAGATTAAAGGTTGAATATTTCAAGGATAAATGCCAGATAATCTTTGGCTAATCGTGCCTAGGCATCTACTTTTATTATTTATTTAGTAATAAATAGTGAAAGTATATGATTCGAAATATTATTGAAGAATAGGTACTTTAATAACAATACCTAAACTTGGACAAAAGTGACAATGTGTTTTATTTTTTTTTTTTTTACGATTATCCCCATAGGAATTCCCAAGGTCAGATGTATCCAATGTGATACTTAGGAAAAAGTATTATAGATACCTGAGGTTGCCTATATATACGTCAAATACGAACATTTAAATATTTTAAATATGAAATATTACATAAATATAAGAAATTAAATGTCGTAATAAATTTAATTATTTATTTGATTAATTACATGAGAAATAAATAATTGATAAATCGTATTAATTGAAGAATGTATACTACTGTGTTATTGATGAAAGTATTTATTTTATCAATTATTATTATAAAATCGTATAGATATAAAATATGACGTATATATAAGAAGGTAAAAATGTCATAAGAAATTTAATTATTCATTGAAACTATTTTAATTGCGAATTAATTGAAATTTCCTTAATCACGGTCTTAAAAACAAAAAACATAAATAATTAATAAATTATTTAATAAAAGAATGAATAATTTTATTTATCATATAATATATCATTTTTACAACAAAGCCGATTAATCGTTATTATAAAGATATACAATTTTCTTTTTAACAAAATAAATAAATAAAATGTTTTTTCTAAATTTTTTTTTATATTCATGTACTTTGTATTACTATAGTAATACATTGACATTTAATATGGAATAATGTTAAAAAAAAATGAATAATTATTAACACTGAACCTTCGAACAGATACATGGAAAAAATTCGTTTGTGTTGAGGTATACATTGATAACAAAAAAAAAAAAAAAAAAAAGAAAAAAGAAACGAAAACGTTTTGTTGTAACAGCGATGAAAAATACAAAATAAAATTTTCAATTATTTCCCATCGAATGCTATTATACAAAATGAATAATATATTTATTTTGTAAATAAATTTATTTTATTATATCCTATAAATAAACCTTTAATAAAAATGGATCCATTAAAATGTACCAATCATTGATATATATTATTTCATGCATAATACGGATTTCAATTAAAATAATATGAAGCTTTTTCAGTCAATAAAATAATATTCAATTTAAAATATACAAATATTTTCATCTCTCTCTCCCTCTCTCTCTCTATATATATATATAAATATATATATAGAAATATATAAATATATATATATAGAGAGAGAGAGGAAAATAAAGTAAAATAGGATAAGGCAAGCCGATCATGGTCGATAACCATAAACGTTTACCCTCGAAGTGACTTTAACTTCCATTCCGAAGCACTAACCACAAAGCCATAACGACATTTCAGCTGGGACTATGTGCACTCATTCGATTGGCTACGTAGCTCGTTCTATGGTTTATGGTATTGCAAGTGAACACTAGAATATAGTCTAAAAGACCCGAAAGCACGATGATTTTAGGCTGTTAATCATCTCGAAATCGAAACATCTCGAATGCTTGCGTAAGCATCAGAGATATGAGCCATCGTGTAATCATCTTCATTGAGAACTTTCTTTAACGTTCTACAACATTAATTATATGATTTATGATACTTTTATATTAGATTTTACACACTTAGAAAGTAATCCGAATTACAATCGATTTCTTTTTTCCTCGTTAAGAATTTTTTATCGATTTTATGGTATTCATCCAATTTTCTTTATACTCAAAAAATATTATAATAATTATAATTGTATATTTAAATTATAATAATTATAATTATAATTTTCATGTCGTTAAGACTAAGTCAAAATAGTAAAAAGAACATTTTATATAAAACGTTATTATAAAATTGTATACATATACATTAAATATCATTTCAAAATCATATTTTCTCGATTTTGACTATTACATATGCATTTATTTAAATAACATAAGTACATATGATCAATTTTTTCAATTCTTATTTTTTATTCTTTTTGTTTTTAATTAATAATTTCATCGATAAATATAACGTAATAATCGTCTCTGGTATTAATGTATCAAATATTTTCAAAAACTAATGATAAAAATAATAATCGAACGTTTCATTCTAACGTTTTCCTGATATTACGTTTATCCTGTTTCTGTCAGGTGCCAGCAGAATACACGGTACAGCATCCACCTCTGGCTCCAATAAACTCCAAAGGTATACCTAACAGCCTTGGTTTACGTCTGGAAGTAGAACCAAGACATTTCGGTGGTGGGCTGGTTAAGATCAAATGCATCGCCAAAGTCGGTTCTCATACGTACGAAGCTAAGAGGGACGTCCTGAAGGCCTATGTGAACAACCAGAGGCTGAGTGCTGGTGATCTTCGCAGCAACAGAGCTTGTCGTAACGACGATCGATTTCTCTATGGTCCTCTGATCTTTTCGATCCTTTTGATCGTCGTTGCAACGTGACCGTGCAGAACGTGAACAAAGTTATCCGCGAATCACGCTTTAACGCGTATTACGTCACATCTGCCAGACGGATTCAGTGTCAGTCGTCCGATCCTTACGTATAATATTAATCTAGCCGTTAAGGTATTAGATGAGTGATCTACTATGATCCGAACGACGATGATTATTATTTTTTGCTTTCATTTCTTTTTTTTTCTCTTTCTTTCTCTTTCTCTCTCTCTC